TCTTCATAAACTGAAATCAGCTGAATTTGTTTTGATCTCATGTGAAGTTACATCTCCTTGGACTCCTAATCTGTTTGAAAAACCTGAACACAGAACTCTATTGTCACTCAAACTCTCTCCACCAATTGAAAATGGTACATGTGAGAGTGCTTCTTTATCATTTTGAATGTGAGGATATCCCACCTCATCACTCCAAGATTTTATGCCTACCTTATCTCTTCTTTGATCCCCACAGTTTTCACTATTGTTGAGCTGTGGAGTTGTCAACAATTGGGATTATATATTGGGTTGTGTTCATGATTTTGTTGAGCTCAATCTTTTGATTGCTTTGGTTCATAATAGTTTTCTTGATTAAGTTGTTCAATATTTTAAAGGTAAAAATTCCCTAGTTATTGAGAATGGCTCCTTATTTTCTGATGATGTTTGTTGTTGAACTAGTCCTTGTGCTCAAATTTTGAAGAATTAAGCTAGTTTGCCCGAATTGATTTGTCCATCTGGTTGACCTAACCTCACATGAGTGTGGGACCGATGTGGGACCCGCGTGAAATAAAAAATGAAAAAAAATGCTTCCCTCCCCCCGATGTGTGTGATTTGTCAGGGAGGGTGGCACTGCAGCTCTTTTGAATTTTGAATTGCTATTGGTTTCGTGAATGAGTGGACTAATTGATTTATTTTGTTATCGAGCTCTTGTGAGGTCTTATAGGTAATTGAGTGGGCTAGAATTAGCTTTATTAAGCCATTAGTTAGCTTGTTTGACAACGTGATCTGTAGATTAGAGGATAGTATTAAGAAGACGATCTTGTCAAACTATTAATCTTGATGATTAAAATGCCATGGCATAATTATATCAACTTAAAGTAATTTGATAGGATAATTGCTGAAAAGTAAAGAGAATATGGTGGTGTTTCTTCTTTTGATGATTGTATTGAGTAATTTTATGGGCTTGACCCTACCTTGAGTAGCGGACCAATTGCCTCCATTTATAGGCCTTCAACATCATATCGAGCTACATTAGGGATGTCAACAGGACGGGTATGGGACGGGTTGGTCATTTCCACTCCCTCCCGTCAGATTTTTTTCTTACCTTATCCCATCCTCATACCTAGTTAAAGCGGGGCACGGCGAGGCGCCTAATTTATCGCCCCATTTATTTTTTCTTTTTATTTTTTATTTATTTTATTTTTAACTTTTTTATGTCTTTAGTTAATAAATATTATTACTTTTTTACCTATTTATTAAAAACAACTTATGTTCTCTTAACAAATGATGATAAATTTATTATTTTTGTTTGATCAA